GTCAGCAGGGTAACAAATAACTCACGGAGAGCGTGTGCAGATCCCCAATGACTTACTTGTTTAATGCAACCAATGTGATCTTTGTCATCCTGGAGCAAACCTCTTGCATAGCAAGCATCCTTGAATGTGGCATGAATAGTACCATAAACGGTCTTCAATTCCTCAAAACTGGTCGGTCCTCTAACCACATTGAGAAGCATTCTAAGGTAGTACTTCTCGCCTATGCCTGGACGAACAAAATATAGTCTCCCAACTGCAAATCTCTTTTTCCTCGGTACCCACGTTTTTGATGTTTTTTTCCACGTGAATTTAGTAGGAAACTCAGAATATGTCAATAACTTGGCCTCGGGGTACATTTCATTTGCCTTCATCCAGGCTGTGAATTTGGTTGAGAGAACAGTAGCACGATTCAACACTGTGGCCGTGGATTCCCTTTCATTATAGAACACATTATGTTCTCCTGGGAGATGGAAGCTCAGTCGCTCAACTGCAATATCCCTATAATGAATAGGGAACCCAAAAATCCTCCAAGCAGCCTCACATGCTGAGACATATCGGCAGTCATAATACATCTTAATCTCATCAACTATTTGAGATTTATTACTATCAGCATTCTCAGAGAATGCAACTGTTATCCTATCATTGCCCTTGTTTATATATTTGAAGAGATACTTTATTGAACGTGTCTGATTACACCATTCAACATTGATGTGAGCACCATACTTAAGTAATAACATGCGGTTATGCGGAATAACGAATCTATTGTCAAGAAGAATGTCGCCTTTTGCCACAGTTCTACCATTCTGTCTTCTTCTATAGATTGGAAAACCGCTTTTATCGATGGTCGTTTGTTGTACAAACTTCTTCGGAAAGTATTTTGTGCAACGGTTCCCAACCATGCATGGCGATTTTTTGTTCAACAATCCACATGGGCCATGTATCATCAGCTTCTTCACCATGGTGTAATACTCTGGGTCACGTCTCTCATCTGGGATCTCGGCTGAAATTATCTTATCGATATATGTGGCCAAGACATATTTTTCTTTTTCATAAACCCACAATACTATATGTAGCATTCATCTTTAAAGTCACATGATGCCATGCTTACATGCTAACTTTTCATAAATATGGTTAATGAAATGCTAAACCAGACAGATAAGGTACAACTCATTTCACACATCCAATTCATATTTCAAAATTTTGGAGGTGCTCTATAAGTTTAAATAAGAAGTGAGGCCAACTACTCTCTGGGTTAATGTAATTTTGGTCTTTTTCCCTTCACTAATGTAATATGCAGGTCGGTTTAGGGATTTGTCCGCAACTATGATGTTGGTGTTGTGTTCTTGGATGAGTTTCCGAATCAGGGTTATAGAGTAGATGGAAGTCCACGGATTAAAACAATGAGATTGCATGGCATTTGATACTTCGTTATCTTCTAACTCGATGGTCTGAGACATTATAAGCATAGTTGTTCCACAAAATAAGAGTCAAGTGGATGGTGTCAATGATGACAGCGTGAGCAGAAGTGTTGAAAAACGTTTGGTGGTCAGGCAGAATTATCTTGCCGTGATAGTTACGGATGAGGAATCATGTATGGGTGCAAAAGTCAGGTCATCGACAATACAAAAATGATGTTTGTACCCACTCTTATACCCACTTTTGTACACACATATGTTTGTGAAGTGTTTTTTTTTTGTCTGTGAACCCCGGTTCATAAACAATATTTTGCACAAACAAAATATTGTCCGTGAATCGGATTCACAGAAAAATACACTTCACAAACATGATGGGTATAAGGTGGGTATAAGGTGGGTATAAGAGTGAGTATATCAAGCATTGTTGTCGACAATATGGGCGACATTCAAAGTAAAAATACCCAAGGTTGGGAGGGGTCCATCGACAGCTTTATATATGCCTGCATAAATAACACAAATAGAGAAGTGTTCCCCGGCACTCCCCACATCGTGTGGCTTGCTCCGCGGAAAAAAAGTTCATTCTCCCTCAATTGTAAGATGTGAATAGGAAATAGAGAAATTTTTTAAAAAATACATGAAATGATAAGATATTATTAAGATATGAAATAAGATATGAAAATATATATCACAGCCTTGCTTGTGCATGGTTCTCCAATGTTCCAGGTACCCCCCCCCCCCCCCCCCCCCCCCCGGAAGCATATTGCAGACAAAACCGCAGCCCCAAGAATATTAGTGAACCAACAATTTATGAACAAAGAGGACATTTCATAAACTATTTATAAAAACTCATAATAATCTTACATTTAGTATCTGCTATTACTTTGAATAACACTACTACATTTTGAGGTCTTTTGCAACGCTCAAAACTGTTACAATTGGTCAAAATAACCATTACAATACGTTAATTGTAACACTTTTGATGTGTTACATTTGCTGCCGTTACATTTGATCAATTGTAACGGTTTGTAATGGTTTTGATATCAATTGTAACACTTTTCTTGATCTATTGAAAGTATTACAACAAAATCAAAGCATTACAATAGAATCAAAAGTAACAGCTCTAACTCAAACAAATGTAACACTTTATAGAATATGTGTAACAGTTATTCACAATACGTAACGTTGATAAGTTTTGACCTAATGTAACGGTTTAAAGAATATATGTGTGTGTGTATATATATATATATCACACGCACATACAATTCGTAAAACATCATACAATTCCATAATTAATAAGCTCTCCATTTAAAATAGAATATAATGCACGTACAAACATGATTAATTAATGTCAACTCCCAGTCAAAAAAATAATGCCAATTCAATCCACTGTATATGTCACTAGCTAGCTAAATATCACAAAAAATCAAATAGCCATAAGTACTTGCTAGTAGGTTCTAAATCTTCGTGGAATTCTAGAGTTTGAGAACAAGCTCACGAACTTCATATCCAAAGTTACACTGTAATTAACTAAAAAAAGTGCTCGCATATCCAAAATCTCTCCCGTTTGCAGAAGTACTTCATAGAGAAACATCATTCGTCATTTGATTCCATTTCTTCTTCGTCATGTGCATCTCTTGTCCGTAAAATGTACAATTGCAATAAACTTTAATATAAGAAATAAAAATCAATACAGTAAATTAGGAAGACACTGAAAGGTAAATAGAATCATTCAAAACATTGGACTACTTGGACATTGGATACACTTTTCCTTGCATAGATTAAGAAAACAGTTACCCGGCAAATTAAAGCAAACTTGAAATGGAGCAATTTAAGAACAAAATGAAATCAAAATGCTAAGATCCATGAATCAACTAAGACTTTAGGGAAGTATATTTTTAATCTACAATACCATTGATAGTGAAATTTACATGGAGTACATTTCACATAGTGAACATTATGTACAGAAACACACAACAATGTACGGTATTTATTAATTCAAAAATAAATCAAAAAGCATGACTAACTCTATCCAGGCATCTTTGTTGAAATGAATGAGATCATTTAAATATAGATAGTTGTGTCCTAAATCTACGAAACTCCCCGGAATAATGAAAACCTATCGAAACAACAAATTCTTACACATAAACTAGCAGCAATGAGTTTATATTTGAAAGATATGCATAACAGATTTCTCACAGTACATTTTTTCAGAAAGAGTTTTCTATCGCCAAGAAGATAAAGATTTTGGTTCAGTATATCTTTTAACAGTTTAAATCTTAAAGAATCGCTCTCCTATAGTAAGGCTTCAAACTAGCGTTAAACAAAATATAGAGAGGAACATTACCTTATGAAATGAATCTGTTCCATCAGAATGTCGCCCATTTGACCCATTCACTTCGTGAGGCAATTCATCTCTTGAGGTGATACAAAGCTGTGGAATAACAAGATTAATTCCCGGGTTTGCTTCCTTTATTTGTGACAGTATAATGGATGCCACATTTGGAGTTACTTCTCGTGCCAAGTCTTCTTTGATATTTGGTACTAATGCCGCTTTAACACTTTCCATGAACTCTGCTGGAAATATGTAGCCAGAATTCTTATCACCTTTCTTCAATTTAGATTTGTTCATACCTCTACCATGAAGGCGTAAACGTCCATTTTGTTCAGGCTTATCAATCACTTGGTAATAGGGATCTTGTGTATTATCTTTTTCTCCACATTCTTGCTGCAATTGTAGCTCACTCATTTTGGCCTTTTTAAATTGGAAATAAGAAAGGAAAAAATTGATTAGCAAGTTCATATATATTCTTATTTAGTCACTGTACAAACATTATTAACTCACTATATTTTCAGCAGGTTTGTCAAATTTGGTCAAGTAATGCTTTCCCGGAATTCTTTGCCTCGATTCCTTGTAGACCTTTGACTGAGGTGGATCTTGATTATTAGGATCACTTTGTTTCTACAAAAACATATACGAGAGAATAGATCAATTAAATAAATTATAGTCATTTGTAATTGCAATTAAAGAAATACGGTATTACATTAAAACAATAGCATCTGGTTTAAGAAAATGAACCAAAAAGAGATGCAGGGAAAGAAGAAGCTAGTGTAATAGATCGTCAAAGGTGCTTCTGTGAATGACCATCTTTCATGCTTTCTGACTTTTATTCATTACCACAGAAACAATATAAAAAAATATTCTTGAAGTGATATTTAAAATAAAATCAGTAACAGAATGACCTGGGAGAAAAGATTAAATCAAGAACATTATTACCAGTTTATGACGCAACAATGCAAATGATGTGGGGCCCATTGTGTGCGGGTCATCATGTTGCATACGGTTTGTTCTATTGGTCTTGCTTTCCTCCTGTATTTTTAATATATAAAAACTGCAAGTAAGACGTAATGCTCACGAGTATAATTCCCTAATTAAGTGTGTTATTATATAGCTCATATAATAGTAGGGATGGGATTAGGAGGATGCACTTTTTGTGATATTGGAATGATGTTATGGTACAAAGTAATAAATAAGTAATATAAAACAAACATATTAATCTAAATAATATAAACATAGTACCTCAACCTCTTCGAGGTCCCAATAATTCAAAAGATCTCTAAATTGTTGTTCAGAGATAGTTTTTGGACGATTCTTCCATCTTCTTGCATCAGTTGTATATGCATAATAGTGTTTATCCTTCATCCTTGATTTGTGAACTCGCCACAAATCATTAATAGTAGACATCACCCATTTTCGTCCTTCTATTGGAACCATGTACTTCTCCTTCAAGAGATTTAAATGTAAATATATAGTACAATGTGTATATTATCTTGTAAAGTAAAATAAGAAATTATAGAAGTGTAACAGTAACATACCAAGATGTAATCCCACATGTGGTCCAAATTATTTTGAGGCACCTTATGCCAAGTAACATAGTTTAAAGGAGCAAGTTGTGCATCTCTAGCAATTGTACCCAAGAAGCGGCTAAATTCACGAACAAGCTCAGGAGTAGGTCCAACTGGTTGGCCTACTTCATTCAAAATAATAATTGGCCGGTCTTCAAATTTACGACTATGCACTTCTTCCATGACAGTTGGCCCTCTGGTCTTCTTTTCTTTGATAACTAATGACAAGTAAAAGATAAAAACAAAATATAATAAATCTGCATATTGATAAAAGCCTAGAATGAATTGGAAAACAAAAGTACCTTTCTTTGAAGTGTGGATTCCAGTAAGTTCCTTTTCAATCTCTAATTCATTTTGTATATTCATTAAAGTGTCTGCAGAATTTATTTCAACCTCATGTTCTTCGCGAGGTAAAATGTGATTACTGCCAACCTGTTTCAGATTTGATTCTCTTATATTTTCTTCACCATCTGTGAAACTGATTTCTTGATCATTCTCGTTGTCTTGCTCACTCTCATTGTCTTGCTCACTCGATGAGTCTACAGTTTCTAAAAGATGCGAACAATTTTCACGTTTCTTTTGTAATTGCTGCATTTTCCTCATATTGCAATACATAGCCATAGATCCAGGAGCGATATGTTGCTTCATCTTATCTGAACCCAACTTTGAAGAACGCTGGCCTTTACCATGAGTGATGCCAGTCTTCAATTTATTTTTTTTAGCCTGCAATGTCGCTGGAGTTTGTTGATTTTGATGTTTTGAACTCTGTTTTACAACATCTCCCATAGTCATTAGCTCAGCGCGTGACTGCTTCCTTGTCTTGTTACTCAAACCTTTTCCTTTCTTTGGAACCTATTAGATTAACATGAATATATACATATATCACACAACAATTTCCAGAAACCATTTATTATATGTCAAAGTAGCTGTCTTTCATGAGATAATGAGCTAGGAGTTAGCATACCTTTAGATGGTCAAGTTCGGCATTCTCATCATCACTCGGGCTGTACGCTTCATCATCAGATACATCATGTGAATAAGCTGGTCTATTTGTACTTATCACATTGTTTGACTGGAAGATCGTCTTGTTAGCTAGAGTGCTAAAACCAGCTGCACGCATTTTTTCTTCATTTGATGCCAATATCTTCATCCTTTGCTTTTCGTATTCTGTGACTTTCCCAAGTCCTTCCAGCTCAGATTTATTCCTTTTTTTACCCATCTGCACAAATCAATTCAAGACAATATGAATTACACACTAATAAATTTAAATTTCTTAAAAGTGAAAGGGTGTTTATATTAACTCCCATAAGAACATAAACGTGCCTGCATTAGTTCTTTAAAACTAAATGAAGAGTAGTTCCTGATTGTGTGATTAAACTCTACATACCAGAGCTGATTCTACAAAAGTACTATATCAAAAAAGTTGATTCATATTTAAAGTACTATGTCAAAAAAACTGATTCATATTTAATTTTTTATATATGTATCAAGCAAGGTGTGGAAATTATTTGAATATTAGATTTCTTACCGTTTAACTAATCAACACTTAAGTTTTTCCAATAAGCTTCTCCACTTTCAATACTCCATCCACGTAATCTTTAGGACGATTTTTTATTGCGAAATACCATCCCTTCTTGGTCGGGTCTTCAACATAAAATGCCTGATTTGCTTGAGATGCTAAAATGAATGGCTCTTCTTTTGAAATGAACTTGGATTGATTAACTCGAGCTAGCCCATTATGATCTCTTTCAGCATAATACCATATACATCTAAATAATACGAAACTGAAATCACCATTATAATTTATTTCAATGATATCTTGTATCGAACCATAATAAGTGACATCTCCCACCACTGGATTCCTATCCTTACTACTTGCAAAGCTAGGAGTTAGTGCTGTTAATGTGACACCGCTATTGTCTGTCACACAATTAGCATCACGCTTGATCGTGTGAAAACTATACCCATTGATGGCATATCCACTGTATCTTCGAGCTAAGTGAGAAGGTCCTACGGATAAGCTTTTAATATGACCTAATACTTCATGCCCTTGTTGAAGCTCATATTCAACTTTCTCCCGAAACCAGTTGATGAAATCCTTGTTGTGATTGTGAAGGGTATCCCATTTTCTTTTATTCCGAGTGCTAAGGGAGACTTTATGTTCACTGTATTGTCAAGAAAATAAAAATACTTGTTTCAGTTTTAACTACAAATGAGAAAGTGATTATTATTGTAAAAAATTGTAGTAATAGAGTATTAGTGTTATATCTTACTTGATATATCTCTCGATTTCATCACAATCGCAATTGAATAAGACATAGCGGTGCACCTGATTCCATGTCACAAGGTCAATCTTAAAGCCAAAACGTTCATTTTTCTTTGTTCTTCCTTTTCCCTTCAGAGCATAGCCAATCCTGGGAAACATGGAATGCGGTTCACGAACATTGTTAGGTTGCCCCCTTTCTGGTTTGGATCCATGGTTTAAGTATCTGGAGCAAAACGTTACGCACTCATCGGTTAGAAAACCTTCTGCCATCGATCCCTCTGGCCGAGCCTTGTTTCTTACATGAGATTTCAGCTTTCGTAAATATCTTTCAATTGCATACATACATCTTGATGCAACTGGACCACCTAGCTTTATTTCTTCCACCAAATGAATGGGTAAGTGGACCATTATGTCAAAAAAAGATGGCGGAAAGATCTTTTCAAACTCACAAAGAGTTTCAGCAATTTCACGTTGTAAATGGTCAAGATCTTGAGGGTCTAACACTTTGCACCATAGAGATTTGAAAAAATTACACAGTCTAATTACAGGAGTAGCCACATCCTCATGCAAAGTTATACTCGCAGCAACCGGGAGTAAATAATGCATCATAAAATGTGCATCATGGCTCTTATAACCAGACATTTTCAAGTCTCCAACCTGCACACAACGTTTTATGTTTGATGCATAACCCTGAGGCAATCTGGCATTTTTCATGACAAGACAGAATGCCCTTTTCTCATCTGCACTCATCGTAAAGAGGGCTTTAGGAATTTCTATTTTACCATCTTTACCTTCTTTAGGATGAAGTTCCGGCATAATGTTAAGCTCTACCAAATCCTCGCGTGCTTTAATGTGATCCTTGGTCTTTCCAGATATGTTTAGCAATGTCATTGTGAGATTATCAAAGACATTTTTCTCTATGTGCATGGCATCAAGGTTATGGCGATATTTGTTATCACGCCAATAAGGCAAATCAAAGAGTGAGGATATTTTTCTCCATGGATTTTGATCCTTGTTCTTCTTTTTCTTCTTTTTCTTTCCAAAATCGTTTTTAAAATCACACAATAATTGTGCAATTTCAGTCCCTGACAAGCGAACAAGTGCTTCTCTATCCTCTATCTTTCCATGAAATTGCCTCTTATTATGGCGCCAAGTGTGGTCCTTATCTAGAAATCTACGATGATCCATGTAACAAATCTTACCGCTATATGGCAAGCTTGTTGCACAAGTTTCATAATGGCAACAGGGACATGCCATCTTTCCTTTTGTGCTCCAGCCAGATAACATTGCATAACCTGGAAAGTCGCTAATGGTGGAGTGCAAAGCTACACGCATACTAAACATTTGATTACTTGCAGCATCATAAGTGTCCAGACCAAATTCCCACAAAGATTTGAGATCTTTAAGTAATGGTTGCATGTAAACATCAATCTCATTACCCGGGGAAAATGGACCTGGAATAAGTAATGCAAGCATGAAAAACTCTGGCTTCATATACATCCAAGGTGGCAAGTTATAGTTAATTAATATAACTGGCCATGTACTATGAGAGATACTCAAATTGTTAAATGGGCTAAATCCATCACTGGCTAACCCTAACCTCACATTGCGGGGATCTTTAGCAAAAGTTGGATAAAGTAAATCAAAATCTTTCCATGCCTCACCATCAGCTGGATGGCGTAAGAGCCCATCGATAGGCCGCCCATTTGCATGCCATGTCATGTAACTAGCAGTCTCTGAGCACATAAACAATCGTTGCAACCTTTTCTTAACAGGGAAGTACCTTAGAATCTTTGCTGGAATTTGACTACATTTTTTATTAATGCCATCCTCATTATTAGATTTCCACCTAGAAGATTTACAGATGTGACAACACGTTGCATCTGCATACTCATCCCAATATAACATGCAATCATTAGGACATGCATCGATCTTAGTATAGTCAAGACCTAACACTTTTAACGCATTCTTTGCCTGGTTAAAAGACGATGGCAGCTTTGCCTCAGGATGCATATCCCTTATAAGCTTTAATAGGTCAGAAAATGCTGCATTACTTAACTTGTGATCACATTTGAAGAGAAACAATCGAATGGTGAAAGAAAGTTGTGAAAAGTTCTTGCAACCTGGATACAACTCTTGTTGTCCCTCTTCTACTAACTTATAAAATTTTTGTGCTTCTTCATTTGGTCCTTCCCTAAATGTCTGTTGTAATAGCTCGTCGATATCATCATTAAAATGTGTTCCGGATCTATAATCATGTTGTGAGCTATCCATGTTGACCCTTAAGTCTGATTCTTTTTCTAACCTTGGAATAAAACCCTTGCATATTACATGTTCCCTCACAACATTTCTACGTAACCAGTAGCGGTACATACACTTGCTACATGGGCAACGAATCTGATCTCCTTGTGCTTCAGTTGCGAATGCTTTGTCAAGATAGTTATCGACTCCATTTTCAAACTCATCAGCCCACTTGGGAAAATCCCACCAAACATTTCTTCCTTTATCCATGACCTAAAGTTAAATCATGAAACTTGCAATATTTACATAAAAACATATTGACTTGGTACGAAAGAAACGACATTGTCTCATCAACTTATTTAGAATTGATCTACCATTTTATCATGTTTCATTAATTATCTTTTATTATTGTATTTTCTGTAGTACTGGATCACTTACTCAAAATTCAACACTTACTTTTCATTTATTTTTATTTACTATTCCTTCTTTCTCAAATAAAAAGACTCTGTCTTTTTCATAATGAGGTTTCTTCTTTTAAAAATTTCTTGCAGTATAATGAGGTTTCATCTTTAGTATTTTGGAGACCCTACATGGAAAAAGGAGTTAATACTCACATTTCATAAAAACGTGAATCCAATAATACACTCTTAAAAAAAAGATAAAATGAATACAAACACACCTATAAGAAACAAAATTTTAAAGGTAACATAACATATACACAATGAACACAAAAAAGTACTTTTTAATTTATACTATGGCCTTTTGAAGTGTAAAATTAGTAAAAAAATCACTAAAGGAGTAGTTAACACTTGTTCTCTTTGTATATCAACACTCGAATTTTATCTAATGACAGTACCTACATTTTTTTTATAATGGAAATTTAACAAAAAAAATTGTAAACAATAAAAACAAAAAATTAAGAAATGCAACTTTAAATATTTAGTGAAAAAATAATTAATTAAACTGGTATAAGTATAAGTAAAATGACAACAAGTAAAAACCGTAAAATCAAACAAAACGGATAAAAACTATGCAAAACATGTATGCAAATAACAATTACTATTACCAAAACACTGAAAAAAATGCATAAAAATTACATAATGAAAAATGTAACTAGGCATTTGGATTGTAGCGTATCAATTACTAAGCATATAATTGGTACAAAACAAGAGACTAAGAAAGGTCTGAAGCGGGTCATTAGGTATTACTCTTTACTCATGTACAATTGCCCGAAGTCGTCACAGGCCTCGGATGCTCACAGCCTCTTCCACTATTCCCAATACGCGTCTCACTGTCTTGGCCGTCAAGGCTTTGTCTCTCTGTTGATCTAGGTATGAGGAATCGACTAATCGAGGATTGCCGCCTTGCCTAAATGGGATCTACTGATTTGGAAGGGAAGAATGACAATAACTTTTGTTTCCCTCTTTGTTTTGGCGTGGGTGTCCAGGAAGCCAGAAAGTTAAGAGATGTGCAATTTTCAATTTCCAAATACAATACTACATACTCCGTATAATATTACTAATAACTTATTTTGAGGCCCCTAGATGGTATATGGTATCATTGTGCAGACATCAAAAAATTAAGGAGTATCATTTAAGAAGTCATCAGTGTTATATCAATTTAGTTTAACTGCACAGGCATCAATAAAAATCACAGAGATCGTACTTGAATGGATCAGAATACAATATTCATCAACCAAATAATCTAGCTAAACATACCTTTGAAATCAAACTTGAGATTACCCAGGAATCACAAAATAGCAGTTCCAACTTCCTTTTGCCTCTCACGAGTGATTATACTAGTCAATTTGAAGGCATGAAACTCTAAGAATTGGAGGTTAATATTCAATGAAGAGAAGATTGATTTACACAAACCAAGTGAGCGAAAATTGAAGAGTTATTGTACCTTGGCGGCTGGGAGAAAGGAAATTTCAGAACAGATCTGTGAATCGGAGAGGCGGTGGAGTGCGGCTGAAAAAAGATACCTAAGGAATGGCTTAGCTTCTCGATTTCAAATTGGAATGCTAATAGATTCTGGAAACTGGCCGGAATGCTTTAGGTAGGGTTTTTTTTACTCCATAGAAAAACAAATAGGCTTAAGTTAATGAAAAAGCTCTGGCGCTAACTCATTTTTTTTGGCGCTTCAGAAAATTTCCTTTTGCCGCCTTTGATTTTTTAGTTTTGACACTCCGTATTTGGAAAAGTGTTACATTAAAATTCACAATTGTAACACTTACCTAACAAGTGTAACACTTTATGCAAGATCATAACGGTGTTACGTTTGAACAAAATTAAAGGTAACACTTGATAAGTTAATGTAACGGTATATCTAAAACCATTACAATAAACCACTTTTTAGTAACACTTTACTCAAATGTTACAATTTTATCATTACAATAGACCTTAAAATGTAGTAGTGTAAGGAACATTTTAGTATATTTTTCATATTCAAAATAATTTCATATTATAAAATATTATTGGTCAAAGTTGTTAGTCATTGATCAAAATCAGACTAAATGAACTTTAATTGCAAAAATAGGAGTATAACTTTAAAATTCTCTAAATAGGACTAGCTTTTTAATTCTACCATTATTTTGTTTTAATATAATACGAGCCTATATTGCCGCCTTAACAACCTCCCAACACCACTAGCTCTGACCACCGGAAAAAATGCTAACACCATTGAATTGAATAAATTCCACTTTTGGTCCTACGAGGTTGATGTCAATTCCACATTTAGTCCACGTCTTTCACTTTGTCCACTTTTGATACATGAGTATTGTGTTTTCGCCCATATATGGTCCATTTCCGGAGATTAAAATCGCCCAAAAAGGACCACAAATGGTCAAAAAACATTAGTCAAGTACCAAAAGTGGACAAAGTGAAAGACGTGGACTAAATGTGGAATTGACAACAAACTCGTAGGACCAAAAGTGGGATTTATTCCCATTGAATTAATCAAAATCATGGTACGAACTTTAACACCGCTGAAACAGAGTTAAAAATACATACTAAATATGAAACAGAGTTATCAATTTAAAACAGAGTTCAAGCACACAAGCTATTTATAAATTAGAAACAAAGTAAGCTATTTATAACAAAGTAAGCTATCATAGATGATTAAAAGGTTAAAAACACATAATCTGAAAGTAACAGAGGTTGTTCAAGTAAATTAAATAATAATAATTTAGTGTGTGTGGAAAGACAAAGTTAAACATATTAAAACTAACAGAATCATATTGAACAAAATCACTCAAACATTCTAGAGAATATTAGAGCTGAGAATAGTATGTCATTTCTAATACAAAAACTTACGATTTCATTAGCCACTTCCATAACACTAGCATCATATCTGCCTCCCTTTTCCCCCCTTCCCCACAACCATGTGTCTGATGGATCGATGACTATCGCATTAGTTCTAAGTTCTTTTCCTGTCAGTTTTGAAAAATAAAAGATAGTCATCCAAATAGTCAAACATTAACTAATAAAAACATAGAAGATGAGGACAAACCTTCTTAATTAACCTTGCATAACCCGTGGATCCCAGTCGATGGCTATATATATTCTTCTTCCGGTTCTCTCTCCTTTTTTTCTTTTCGCCTTAAACCATTTACAAATAATAAAGTCTTTGTACAAAAATGTATTACTATTTAATAATACTTCTTTAACAATTATAATAACCTGAAATTCTTCTTTGAATGTCTTTTTAACAAACATTCTCATTCATCAGTAGCTATCCGCTTATACTTTTTAGGAGGAAAACGTAACTTCTCATGATTATTCTTGTGCTTGCAGATGAATTTCGTGTGTAGCATGCTTCTGAAATTTCTGATCGCAACACTCATTGCACTCTAGACATGTTTCCTTGAATTGGGAGGCAAGACAAACGATTTTTACAACAAAAATATCATAAATATTGTATGGTTGTCATTCACCATATAATTAAATTTAAAATAATTAAAAACCTGCAATGCAGTATAATAAATATCTTATTACTTACCAGAATATGCTCCCCAAATGTTGTCTGTGATTTTCTCTGGAACTGCTCTCCAATCATCATACATTATCGGCACATGGTCTCTCACCAATACCCCAATGTAACTGGACTGGCCAGTTCAGTCCAGCCCTCACCAGCAAGAACACCAAACTCATTCACTTTAACCACCACTTTCTCATCGGTAGATTTCTGAAGCAACATTTTCTTCTTTGTTTTTTTGTCACCTAATTGGTCTCTCGTCCAAGTCATCCATATCATCTTCTGTGTTTTTGTTGTGGCTTTTCATAGCTGACTTCTTCCTGCATATGCAAACATGAAATAAGTAAAAAATATTAGTTCTTTCTAAACAGGCTCTAAATTAAATAATACACAACTGACAATCATAAAATTTCACCCACAAAGCTTTGTAAAATGCAAGAGGCACTTACTATAACAAGAAAAGAAAACATTGCACTCCGGACACATGGATTTTTCATTGACATCACAGTTTATGGTGATTATCACCATCATCTAGGGTTCCCGAATCAGGAATATTTATTAGGTATTGTGAAGTTAGGGACTCATGTATGATCATTTCATCACATTCAGTATCTGTAGAATTATGGACCCTTTGACCAACTGAACAAACTATAGATTTTATTGGATCAAGTTGTTCTTTCACATAAAAAACTTGCTTTGCATGAGAGGCTAAAATGAAACTATCTATTTTGTGACCAATCTTATTTAGATCAACTAATGTGAACCCCAACTTATCTTTTTTCACATGCCTACTATGTACCCAATCACACTTGAAAATGACCCTCTTAGTCACGAGGTAGTGAAGGACCCAGATTTCAACAAGGACACCATAGTAATTTATGTCGGAAACTCCATTCGTGTCTGCTATAAGAGTAACCCTGTTATTTTGTGTAACTCGATTCAAATTCTGATCCTTTGTTGCAAAGATATATCCATTTACAATGTATCGTGAATATGTTGTCACGATTATGTTTGTTTTTTGCTAGCCACCGGACTGTTTTCTCAACACACACACACCATTTGCAATATCATTACGGACCTACACATTAAAAACTTAATATTCAATATATTTGTGTTAAATATGTATTTTTAGTAACATTAAATTAAAGAGCATTTTTCCTTCTTCTCAAACCATGGGACAAAGACTCGATAATGCTCTGTTTCACAACAACCATCAAAGTTTGATTGCAGCTCCAACATGTGATGCCTTTTTTCATTTATGAACAAACAATAAGATATTTGGTTTTTTGAAAAATCGAACGAATTCTTACTGTATGTACGGCAAAACTTCTGATGTATTAAATAGAACGGTTCAATGTGCTTGCTCGAGAATGGAACAATCCACTCTTTTAGTGTCCCCACGTCCTAGGGGCTTTTCAACTGGGTCGATATTGTCACAATCCATAGGTAATCCAATGGACTGGTGATTTGCAAGATATTCAACGCAAAACTCGAGTGCTTCTTCAGCTGCATAACATTCTGCCATGCATCCCCCAGGATGATAATGACTGCGGACAAACCCTTTTAAGAACTTCATGCTTCTCTTAAAAGGTTACATCCAACAAAGAGGTAAACCGGGCCATATAACCACACTTGAGCCACGAGATGGACCGTTAAATGAACCTTGATTGAAAAAGGAAGGCAGAAAGTATTGCTCAAGACAACACATGGTGATGCGGTGATTATACTCTAGTTCATCGAGTGAATCACTATCCAACACTTTCTCACACAATTTATTAAAGAACAAACACATACTAGTTATAACATCTGTTAAACTTTTAGCCACTGACATGTTATGAATGGCCAAGGGAAGCATCTGTTGCATCAAGGTGTGACAGTCATGAGACTTGAGACCTTGAAGGTGATTGTCATCATCAGAATCAATGCTTTTTAGGTTAGAAGAATAACCATCCGGTACCTTTATTTCCAAAATGGTTTCACAGAATTTCTGTTTGTCTTTCTTGGTCAAGGTGTAGGGTGCCGAAGGTAAAGATTTTGAATTTTCTTCAGGAATTAAGTTTTTCTTTATGTTCAAATGAATAAGGTCATTTCGAGCTTGGGATCCATAGATGCTCTCGCACACATTCTTTTCAATGCGCATCACATCTAGTAGGTGACGAACTAATTGCTATATATCTACCGGACAAACTTCTAAAGCCTCCCGCACCTTCAGCCTTGAGTGAGCACTAGTTGCCGCCCTCCAATCGGCATCAAGTTTTTTGGTTGCGGCGCACACAAAGCTCCTAGGGAGCGAGAAGCCTAGCGCTTAGTCACATCACTTAATTTTTTTTACATATTTATTATTTCAGACATAAACATGTAATTGATTCTTTTTTTAGGTGATAAACCTCCCAAAAATTCAAGAAATTTATCCCATTTACAAAAAAAACAGAAATACATGGTCCGTAAAAATCAAAATCTGAGATTTCAAGAACCGCCAGAGATGTCTCACCGCCGCACGCTATAGCAGAAGCCACGAGCTATAACAAACGTTTGCCGCCCACTCACAACCTGTTACTGGTTGGAGCCGAAACTACTGTGCGCCATCCGTTGCAGCTCACCGCACCAAGTACGAGGTCCTCCGTCCCAACCCCGCCAGCGACGCAGCTGCTCGCTCCACCATCTTGAAGAGAAGAATCAACAAGCTCAATATCAATTTGATTTAATTTTTATCCGAAGCACGAACGGATTGATTGGTACTGCATATTAAGTATTGATGATTAAACATAGAGTTTTGTAGGAGGATGAGAATAGTGGTGGGAAACTGAACCGAAAACCGACCCTAGACCATCCCTAAAAATGCGACCATGACATTTTTTCTTATTTTTTGACGGCCCAAATAAAAGAAACGGTTTGAACCTGAAAATTCTCTTTTATGGGCTATAATATAAGGAAAATTGAATTTGTACACAAGTTGAATATATGTGCTATAATATAAGGAAAATTGCATTTGTACACAAGTTGTGCACACCATTTTTTACAGAAAATGAAAATTTTATTGATCAAAGAGAAAATAAATTACAATAGTAAAAGGTGCAATGGGGAAGAAAAAACAAAAACAACTCAATCCGAAGTACACTTAAAACCCTATCTTAGAAAAGCTTTGATTTCCATGAAATCATTAGAAATCCACGTGTATGGGATCTCGTTCTCTTGTGATGCGATCGTTGGTGCATTTTCCTGTAGATTTTCATTTGAGTGTTAAGGTTTTGTGTAGGTAAGCAATTTTCTAGCGTGACCAAGCGAGCTTTGCTGCATATGTCTTGATTTGTGTTCGAGTCTCATGGATCCTCGAATCTTGAAATGAGTATTCTCTTTTCGTTCTCTGAAACACGACTTAGAAATTCATCTCCTGTGTATGACAATATTTTCCGGGCAAAAACATCGTCACAATTCATCACCATAGAGCACTGATTACCTGTAGCGGCATCTATCGAAGAGTTTATATGAGGAATATCTTTATCATCCTCTCTCTTATCTAAAGAGTTCCAATTTTCCCAACAAGAAGTAACAATTCTTTCATTTTTTAATAAGAAACAAGGAGAGTGATTCTACCCCATTAGTCATGGTGGTCTGAAATGTATCATTAATGATAGAGCTAAGTCCGATAATCGCAAAGAGCTACCGGAGTCTTCTACAACATTCAATACCTGAGGTTTATGAAAAGAGACAAAATGGTCAACACCAACTTGAAGCAGCGCTCTCGAAATAGAGAGATAACTCTGGTTGGAGTAATCTCCATATATATGAGGAATGAAAGAGTCCTCTTGTGGCTAGAATTCTTCAAACAATCCCAATATGAAAACTCTTCAAATGTTGCCCTCTTGCCCTCAAGTTCCTTCATCAAATTAGTTGATCTATTAATTCCTTACGGGAAGTATTTAATTCCCATTTCAGTCCAACCTTTCGGGATAAATAAAGAATCACAACCTTTCTTGATGATGCAAAAGAAGCCACCAAAGAAATTAGCATCATGAAGAATAAGAATTAAATTCTTTCGACCAATTGTCAAATAGTAACCTCAAAATGGAGTTTTTGACCAAGTAATCCTGACAAGATCAAGTTCAGTTGCAGATAAACTATCATTCTTTAATTCTGAAGTGCGAATAAAATTACCATTTTTTTGTATGAAAATGTTTTGCTTTCAATAATAATTTTAAAATTGAATGGTTCGCCGCAATTGTCTTGATCGTGTCCAAGAGAGAGCGTATTTGACTTTGGAGCCATCGTCCTGATTGTTTTCTTATAAGTTGCCTGCGGTCTCAGACTACTTCTGAAGTTTCTTCGTTCACCCTTATCCCAAAGTCAATGTTGACTTGTCGTGTCGGTGAGGCTAGCTTGGCTTGTACTCATCTTCATGTTAAACTTCCCCGAATCTTTCTCCCCATCCCCGAAAAAGGTTCGTTGTCTATAAGAGGTTTACTTCCGGTCTCGCCGGAGTAGTTTCTCCGAGCTTCCTTGCCTTTCCTGAAGTAGTTTCTCCGAGTCTCACAACTATTGCATGTATGGTAAAATCTATTTGATGAATTCACATTTTGATCACATAAAATATAATAATTGTCTGTGCACACAACCACTTTACACATAGAGATTGGTTTGCACACCAATTCGTATCAAGTATCTTTTCCTCATGCAAACTAATGTTTGTGCTCATAAACGGCTTCCAAATGCCAACACATCCATTGTTCGTGAATGGTGATGGATATTTGTTGTACACCATTTTTTATACTATGCAATATGAAATCAAAAAAATTATTTGTACCCATCATGCCTGTGAAGAGTTTTTTTTGTCTGTGAATCCCGGTCATAGACAAAAATATGTTTATACAGACATGGTGGGTATAAAAGTGGATAAAAATAGTAATAGTGGGTACAACGTACGTAATGCCATACACATACACGTACTATAAGTACTCCGAATTAAACTATGATTAGATGATGATGGTACAGAAAGCGAGACGCGGGTACAGACGCGCCTCATCACCCCCCTCTATTTTGCTGTCTTTAAAGCAGCCTTTCTTTCTAGTGTTTTACAGCTAATCTATACAAATGCTTCACAGAGTCGACATCTTTGGCAGATGCCTTCATCAGCTCAACAAAGAATCAGTTTTTCCCCTTCATCGCACAATCGCCCATAAATCCAAGGTAATTTCTAACTTCTCCATCATTTTCGTCTTGCTTTCGAGTATTGGAAGTTATTTTTATTAAACTCGTGTCAAGCTGAATTATATGAAATTTCCTATTTTCACATCTTCCTTTCTGTCTTCGGTATACATGCGCGGTGGGAATGGCAGTCGACTTATCTGCCGACGGCCGAAATTGCCGCCGTCCGGCGATCCACAGCGCTTCTTATTTTTCCGGCTCCTTACAGTAGGGTAGTGAGAGTGTTATATATACGCGCTGAGGATTTTCTCGGTGCTCGTCTCTGACTTCCATTGACAGGGGAGATAGAATAGAGGGCTTTTTCAACGCTTTTTGGAGAACAAAAGAAAGGCAATCATGAACAAGTCAATTTCCTTTTCAAACAGCTAATTGCTACCGCCGAGTGGCACCGACGAAGTGAATTTGGCAGTGAAGCCGCTAAGATACTTTCAATTGTTGACTTTTCTTTGAATTTATTTCATTTACATACTCGGTATTTGTCAATAGATAATGAAACAGTAAGGGAGAGAAATAGATCATTAGATCTTATTCCCTTTTTACGTACAGTAATTAGTAATGGCCGCATAAATTAATTAGTACCTAATCATTCATTCATTCTGTCTCCGTGCTACAGCTGTTACGATTAAGTGCTATCAGTACTTTTATTTTTTTGATTATTATTATTATTGTTATTGTTGTTATTATTATTATCAGGGGCGGAGCTAGGGCACTGGGCCGGTACAAAGAATATTTTTGAAAATTTTTTTTCACAAAATTTTTTAGACCAAAAATACAAGCATTTTTAAAATTTGGGCTGGGCCAGGTATGGCCCTCCCCTAGCTCCGCCCATGATTATTATTATCATTAGTATTATTATGTGTTCAATTGAGGGGTAGACTTGATCACTTGACATGTGAATATTGATATATAATAAAGTCCTCAAGGCCAAACCACACGATGAAGTTTAAGCGTGAAAGAAATCACGTTTTAAACTCTTACTAATAATTATTTTTATATGGATATATATTTATAAAACATTAAAAAAATATGGCCAAATTGACATCAATAATCCATACTTATACACATTTTAGAAAAATAATCCATACTTGAAAAGTTCACAACAATAATCCCTACTACTTAACTGTTTCAAAAAAATAATCCGAATGTTAAGCGTGTTAACTTTTCCGCTGGTTTTTTATTTTTTTTGAATATATTAAAGCAAAAGTGTGTATAAAAATTAATAATATTATATTTGAGTTTAATCTTTTTCTATGATTAATTTAAGTTAATATTTTTCATAAAATATAATAGAAATATCCGTATTCAATATTCTACATAATTTGTATTACTACGTAATATTTAACGTAGTATTAATAAAATTACTTTGAAATCTCTATTATAATGAATAACAAAAATGAATATAAATAAAATATGGATAAGGAATAAAAGAGTAGAGAATTTGAAATGTATGTACTATTTAGTGTTCAAATATTTTTATTATGTTTCATGAAAAATATTGAATATAAAATTATATTTTTAGTAGAAACAAGAATAAACTCAAATATAATATTGCTAATGTTTATATATACTTTCACTTCAATATATTAAAAAAATTAACGGAAAACCTAACACAATTAGCACTCGGTTTACTTTTGTAAAATAGTTAACTAGTTGGGATTATTGGTTTGAACTTTTCAAGTAGCGATTATTTTTGTAAAATGTGTAAAAGTAGGGATTATTGGTGTCAATTTCACCAAAAAATATAAATGAAAATTTCAATTTCTTCAATGACTATACAATTTTTAAATTGAAAGGTTACAAATAAAAAATAGTACTCTCATGTATTGTTACTTTTTATTGTAAGATTACATAAGTAACTTATTTAGGAGAAGTGATTTTCTAGAATATAATATATCTATTTTTTTTCTTTTGCAACACATTATCTATCTAAATAACTCTAATCTTTTCACGCATACGGGTAAAATGTACATGTTAACTCAACTTTTCACGCATAGGCTCCGCCTTTTGTAGCTACACTTTTTCACAACTTTTATAGTTAACTCTTGAGAGTCGACCACCTTTTCCACACCTATTTACTATATGGTCATTTTCCTGCCGCCTTACGACGCCTTGTAGAACATTGGTTAAAAACTATACTCTCTACATTTGAAAGAAGACCATGTTTGTTAATTAATTTTGGAAGTCTAGTTCAATGTTATGGTAAGGTTGATAATGTAACGATCATCGGTTTCCATACTTCCATCTGGTTCTAGATCAGTACGTTAGCCTATTTTTAAAACAAAAGGTCTGGTCTCATCCGTCTTACTTTCGAGGAATCAGAACAGTTAACATGGCTCGGTCTTTTGGTTTGGTCTCCAGGACCATGTCCACCCCCTAAACGGAGGTGGAGCTTACAAGCTCTAACAATGTCAGGTTTCTAAAAAGTGCTATTTCCTATAAAGGTAGTGGAGCCAAGCGCCAAGGCGGGGTTTGGGGAAGAGGGTCAAGATGAAATCAATTATGGAGTATAAAAGAATATAACGGACGGTCAAGGGGGTTTGGAATGTCTAGATGGACTGTTTAGGGAAGTTTAGAATAGAGAACAATGTGTATTTTTATTTGATGATTTTGTTGTGTACAGGAATAACATAAACTGATGAACACTGTAATGGAAGACAAGAGGCTAAACCTAAACCAGCCTTTTCTCTCTGTAAGACGAACCGATAGGCCAACTGACACCTCCACTCCCCCTCGCCCTCCCCCTCCATATAAATCGAAACTAAACTCGGGACCTTTGAGGGATCCAGGAGTTGTGCCCTTCTGCTGGGAGCACAGCCCTGGAAGACCAAAGCACGAAACTCATCATACATCTGCTGCCTCTGCTGATAAGGCGTCTCCTCCCATTATTCCAAAACTCCCCCCAGGCAGAACTTCAAAAGCAGACCAGCAACAACGCCTTAATAGTAAAGGTTCTGAAATGGAAAACATTTCCCAACACGAGTCATTGAGAAAAAAGATGGTCAAACCAATTAGTTTTAGCAGTTCAAATGGTAGCATTGAAGATGAAGAAGAAAAAGAAGAAGAGAGAGTGGAATCATCATCTGATGAAGATGAAACTTACGTAGATGCCCTTGACACGATTTCGAGCAAACCTGAATCAGCTTTACTGAATCATAGTAGTGCTAGTGGCTTTAGTGGATTGAATGAACCAAATGGGACCTTCACGGCAGATCTTCAAACTCGAGATTTCATGATTGATCGGTTTCTGCCTGCAGCAATTTCAATGGCTACAGAAATGCCTTCGCATGCTCCCAGGAAGCAATCCATCGTTCTGGAACAACCAAGAAATCATCCCGTCAACACAGTAAATGCAGACAAGCAACGACCTCAACTGCGTTATGGGCCCAGTTTTGCACGCCACTATTACCAATCTCATGATTACGCAGAAGTAATAAATGACAATGATGATGAGGATGGTGATGATAATGATGGATCTTTTCCTCCTAAAGTGTGTGGTTTAATACCCCGTTTTTGTTTGAAAGGTTCATTTTTTCTAATGAATCCGCTACCTGGTATGAGTGCAAGGACTCAAGTCCCTATGTCTCCTAGCAGCAGTAGAATGCAGATTGAATCCTCATCTGCTGGATCTTGTAGCGGAACAGAGAATGAGGTATCAACCTTATCTTTTTTCTTCTTTATTTATCTGCCTTTACCTTTCTTCGTGGTGCGGACTAATTTAAGGGCTTGCTTGGCTGGGGATTTTTGAAGGGAAGAATTATTATTTTGCACATTTTCCTACTTTGTATTTGTTAGTCTTAGACTACATAACAACAATATCATGCATATATCTATATAATTTTCACTTTCTTTCCAGCTACCTGAATGTAAACATATATGAACAAAATAAATTCACCGCTCCAAAAACCTCCCAGCTGTACAAGGCCTTAACATAATCTTTTAAGTTTTCACTCCGATTGAGATGATATATGTTGTTTTCAATGTTACAGCGATCAGCATCTGATGTTAGTGAGCGCCAGCCAGTTATTGGACTTCTAACAGCAGAATCCCATGAAGATAATAATAAATCAGATGATGAATTCAAAAAGAGAACTACCCAAAACATTAATGATAAAAATCTAGGTGGACGTCATTTCATTGGGTTGGATAAACGAAAATGCAAAAAATCTGTGGAGTCCTTGACGGATAAGAGTAATAGTGTTGCACCAGAAGATTCCGACAGTTGTGCAATTGTAGAGAAAACTCTTTATGTAGTAGATACTCTGCAAGAGACAAGGGGACCACAGTTTATTAAAGAGGACCATGAAGTTATGAAGCCGAAGGGAAAACAGAATAAAATGGAAGCTTTTCCTTTCATAGAAGAAGCTAGCACAGATGAAGTAACTAATATAAAGCACATTGTCCACGAAACTGCTGATCTCAAACCGCTACTTTCAGCTGATAAATTGAACTCGGAATCTAGAAGAAGACCAAGTAAGGCTTATGGAAAAGACCAATTCTTCACAAACACATCAGTGATGCCTAACAGTAGAGCGGATGAAAGTTACATTGAGGGAACAGAGAGATTGAAGAAGTCAGTAGAGTTCCCAGTACCCCCACCTTTACCCATGTCTCCATCAGAGTCATGGCTTTGTCGCACTTTGCCTTCACTCTCCACAAAGCGTTCATCACTACAGCGGACCTATCTTATCGGAAATGGGAATCCTCGGAATGTGGCACCCAAGGTCACTTCAGGGGATTCAAAATGGGAAACAATGGTTAAAACAACAAAGGGGCACCACCAGCATTTGCGATACTCTCTGGTAAACACTTTTGTTGGGAGTTGCTCCCATCATCAATTCATCACCATCCCCATAATTCCAGTTATATGTGTGTATCAATTATTAGAAATGGCAGCCCAGTGTACATCGGCGATCCCGCAAGGTGAGGGTCTAGGGAAGTGTCCAACACTCCAACTACAAGGATGTATGAAGGGCTAGCCTTACGTTGTCATTTTGACAAGAGGCCGCTCCCAGGGCTTAAACCCGTGACCTCTCACTCCTACACCGTTACTAGTGGTCTAAAATTAGTCAACAATGTATACTAATGCAAAAAAAGAAGTCCTAGCTAGTTCTTAGCGTGTTGCTTCCATGTGCCCCCCTTTTAAAAGAACCCTAGGTTGGCTAGTTTTGCCAATTAATTTCCCGAAGATAGTACTAGTAACATATTGTATGTTAAGGCACCTCACATTGACATTGATAAGATATAAACATATATAAACACACAAATTAACTTATAAGACTTTAATTACTTTTTCTACCAGGTTAATATTTTAGGACAGAACATCCATGTTTTAAAAGGTATGAAAACACTTGAAGCTTAACATGTGCACCAACACTTCTATCTAGGCTATCTTGGTACTCTAAACAAATTGTGAGGTTTGATTATGATTTTTAATAGTTATCTGAACAACTATATGCTGATCGCGTTGTCATTTTCTAACAGGAGCTAATGGCATTGCCACCTATTCCCGAAACTCAGCAGTAGTGTGATGTGTACTTGCTATTGCTTGTACTCGAGTCACCATTCCAATGGATTCCAAGGTGAACAGAAGTCAATAAACTACAGTTTTTGGTGCTGCAATATAATACAGTTTTTCTTCATACCATTCCAGTGGGAGCCATAATTGTATATCTTTTTACACCCGTTTCCTGCCATGTAATTATGTACGGCTTCATTTCCCCTCTTCACATGCCATCGTGTTGGCTACTTTAATGCTGATGTCCGAAGGACTGGTTGGTTTGTAAAGAGACTAAAACATACTTCAATAATAAATAAATGCTTGCTTACAATCACCATGAAAAGTTGAAAACAATCTCTCATTCTAGGGTGAAATGTATAAATGGTACCTTAACTATTGATATTGTTGCGTTCTGGTACCTCAACTCTTTAATGAATAAAATCAGTACTATAACTATACATAAACGTTTCAACTTGCGGCCGGAATTCCGTGTTTAAAATCCACTTCACCTTTCTTTTGTCCATGTCATCATTGTAGGGTGACTACACATGGAATTTTGATCACCATGTAGGATTATTTGGCCACAAATTTGAATAAAATTGCAAGTTGAAACATTTAGGTATAGTTATGGTACTGGTTTGATTCATTTAAGAGTTAAGATACTAAAACTCAACAATACCAACCGTTGAGGTACAATTCATGCATTTCACACCTCATTCTGTGTGCGGCTAACTTGGCGGCTAACCATGGGCTGATCGACTACCAAATGGCCGGAGCAGGATCCGAAGCGGTGTCTATTTCATCATATCAGTTTCATTTCAGAGCAGTAGAAGGCCCATTGGTCACGCTTCTCTACGCTTCCTTTCAATATGCAAAATGGAAACCTTCATTGCTTTGTCGGAAAGTTTGTCCTTGGCATACGCCTTCTTGCGCTTAGAATGACTGATCTGAGTATGCCTTTGGATTGTGTTTAGTGTTGTTCCATATTTTGGCTATGTTTAGAGGGGTCAAGTGTGATATATTTCGTCTTGGGCTGAATGAGGATGACTTTGGAGAGAGCAAAGTGGAGGGTGTAGTGTTCATGTGTCTGTTTTTATCTCTTATCATCTTCTTCTTTTGTATCTTCTTTTTCTTAGTTATGTTATTTTAATCTTTTTATATTTTTTTTATTATATGTGTGTGTATTTCTTTTATCATTTTTATCTTATCACTTTTATGTTATACTTTTTATTACCATACATTGGCTATGTTTGGCACATAAAAGGCTCTAGCTTCTAACTTCTCTATTCTATAAAAAGACCTTAAAAGACTCTACTTGTATGTTTGGCATGACATTTTTAAGAGCTTTTCAAAAATTAAAAGATCTTTTTTGAGATGTTACCGGATGTAGCATCTTGAGAAAAGCTCGTGACTTTTAGTATTAATTAGTCCTAACAGCTTGTATACCAAACCGAACTAAATCAAACAGTCAGCTTTTATCAAACAACTATCACCTTTTGTTTCTAAGATCTTTTCAACCAATAAAAGCTAATAGTTACTAAAAAGCTCGTAAAACTATGTTTTTATATTTTTTCTTTCTTATCTTTCTTTCTCTTTTGGCTTCGATATTATGTATCAATTCATGTTAGTCGACCCCAAAATCTTTTGTGACTAAAGCTTGAATGTTGTTCTTAGTGGATGAATGAATGAGAGACTCTTAAGTCTATTGTATATTAATGCCTGCGTAAAAGTTAGTAAAACTGAAATGAATTGATAAAATGAGAATGCTAACGGAATGGAGTAGATTCGATTGGCTACGCGGCTGAATTGATGATATAAGAATGTAAAATTACTATAAAAATTGTTTTAACATGGATGAGATATAATTTGAATCACAGTAGGCTAAAAGTTGCACAAGTTTATGGTAATTTAAATGGTTGAACTCAATGCTATATTTTTTTCGTTGGAAAACGCTTATTTTAACTCATAAAAACAAACAAGCAAACATCCAACCGTCCAATTCAAACATTCAGCCTTCTAACTACTCAGAACCTTGTCTCTAAACTCCTTATAGCCAATAGACCCTTTCACTCTGATCAGATATAAAATAGACTGCCCAATAATGAGTAAGACTAATCGCTGAACATACGGGTGATTCAAAGCTATTATCGACCAAAGTAGCCCAATTGCTTTCTGTTGGGTGTGTTTCGGAAAATAAAGAAAATTAATTAAAATAAATTAATTAAATAAAATGACTAGAGAAAAACAAGAAAGGAGATGAAGCAGAATTAGTCAAAACTCGTGCTACCCACGATGTCCTTAAAACGTATTTGCTGCCTCCCACGGTGCTAGGAGCGTTCCAACAATCGTTTCCCAAGATACGATGACTACAAACAATTGTTTGAGTACTCAAACGAATTGTCCCGGTGAACGAGAACAAGTCTGAACACTCAGGAATTTTCAGAGGTAGTTGGAGGTGTTTTTTAGCAGAAGAAATACGTGAGCTAGTGTGTAAGAACGTATAAGATCGTGTAGAGTTGCAAACCACCTGCCAGTCATTATATAGGAGGATTTGTTGTGTGCAAATGGTGAATTAATGGACCTGAACGTTGGACATCAATGACCAGCCCGTTGGGCATTGAATCATCCATGAACTGTCCATTTAACGCTGCATTAAAAGATAAGAACGTTGGACATTTATTGCTGTAACGGACAGAATAGAACACCCCGAGGCGTTCTGCCCGCGCAGCATTCCTGGGAAAAAAAATAAATGTTTCGGGAAGAAAGCAAAAATTAACCGTATCTCTTGAGAGATAGATTTTTGGACGACATTCGTGTCCGCAGGTCGCCTGCGCACGCAAGTCTTGAGAGATAGATTTTTGCACTATTCACACATTCTACTTTGACTATATTTTATTAATTAATGTGTTATAAATTAAATTTTAAAAAAATATTGTTAAATTCTTCTCATTCTAAATTTTCAAAATATGAATTTTTAAAATTTTTGACTAATAAGGAATGAAAGATATTATTGGTCAAACTTGCGCGTTGGCAAACGTGAAATGTTGACCGTTGCAATTAAAAGGGAACGGAGGAAGTATTATATACTCGCACCTGGGTTTCTCTAAAGTTGCGAGGTATTTTTTGGGCGACGATCTCCTCTTGTCAGCACGCAGGCTGGTCGCTCGCCGACGAACCGGTTTTCTCGAGCAGGACGGTGAAGGCGGACGATGCAGACGAACGGGAGGCTAGGTTTTACCCTATTTTTGAATAGGTTTGGCAGCGAAATAGATTTGTCTGGCGGCTCTACTTTGTAGCAGAGCAGGTGTAGGGAAGGGCTCTTTCGTATAGCGAACTGGGTTAGCGCTACTCCGTTTTGCTTCGGGCGGAGAAGATTGTTTTGGACGAACGTGGTGAGGAGGCAGGCTATTTGGATGATAGGGATGTGGAGGCTGCTCGCTTTCGGACTGGTTGTGTTCGTGCAATATTTTGGCCAAGAGATGAAGGCGATTGATGGACACATCAAGGTGATGAAGGAAGAAGATGATAGTGATGAAGATCCGCCCCCTCCTGAACCGCCGCTATGGAGGAACTAGGAGACTACAGATTGAAACACGACGTTTGAAGGAGGGATCCAGCTGCTCCATCAGTTTATCTTGCTTAATTTCGTTTACCCATTTTTGGTTGTTAATTATGAACTTCATTGCTATCGTTTTGCTTTTGGTTATAGTTCATGGTGCTAGGTTTATTACGATGTCTGAGGTTTTGGCTAGATTTGATATAGTTAGAGGGGGACATATCTATTTGTGCAGCAATAGTTGCATTAAGCCCGTCTGATGGTTAGCGATTCATATTGCTTCTTCAGGGGTAATCGTCTCTATGTCTAATCGCAGGGCTAATAGTAGTAGTTGAAAAGTGAAGGTTGTAGTCAATTTTGGCCACTTTGAGATTGATAACGATCTTGATTATAATGATATCAATATTCATGATTTTCTTTTAAAAAAAAACTAAAAGGAGCATCCAAACCCTAGGCGCTCATTCCTTCCCTGGTGGTGGTTCAAGAGTGGGGCGATCCAATAACACACCACCCTCTGTCTTCAAGTCCAACTAGTCATAGACCCACTGGTTGTTCCTGACTTTATCTTCTTCCTCCATCAATCCCCGTCCTTCCATAATCTTGAGCCAAAACCTCCATCTCATCTTGTTGGTTGCCTTTCATCGCTACCCTCTTGTGCGCTGTTGTGGTCGACTGAACATCTCTTCATCCGGAGCCCTACAACGTTTCTACGATGCTCAAAGAAAAACTTGCACCAAAGTATGCGGACGAATCGCCGCCACTAAACCCCAGGCAGTATGCCTTCCCGTCCGCAATAACTCATTGCTATAATTAGAATGAAGTTTTGAAATAGCATATGAATTTTAGATTCAATTAGAACTCTTTATCCAAATAAGATTATATATGACTTAGTCATCGACTAACATGTGATATAAAAAAAATAAAAACTGAATGATTGATATTTGTGAAAAAGAGAGACATATAAGTAAGTTTTAATAATTAAATTGAATTTTATCAATTAACGACATGAAAAATAGATTCACTATCAATAAGAGATTTAAAAGATAAAGGGTGCTAATATAGAATCTGAATGATTGAAAACAATCTATCAAAGATCTAAAATATCATAATCATAAATCTTGATTTTTTATTGATTCATTTGCTATTTTTTGATGATATTTTTACTTCAAAATAGTTTATTATTTTTATAAGATTAAGTAGTACTAAAAAATTTTAAAATAAAATATTATATTAGTCATTTTTATATTTACCAGTGGCGGCGACCGGGGAAGGCAAGGGCAAGGAGGTAGGGGGCATGTCTGGGTAGTTGGATAGATATTGGAATTGCAAGTAAAGTATATTAATTAAATAAAGATTGGTCATATTTTTTGAAAAGTGAAAATTAGTCATATTCTTGTCTTTCAATGGTAGAGATAATATTTTTGCCTTTTTTAAAAAAATACGGAGTACTTGATTCTGTTTAAATTAATTACTTTAAAGTCAATTGATAACTTTGGAATCAATTGAATAAGCTGAATTTGATGAAATTGGTGAAATTCTGGCTGAAGCATGTGAATTGGCCAAATCTGATGAATATTGAAAACTAATATGTAAAATTTATTTTATTAATAAAATAAAGACAAAGTTAAATGGAAAATAGCTAAATGTCAACATTTTAGCCAAATCAATCAGAAAATTATCTCTAACCTTACTTATTCTTATTATTATATTTCTTTGGTCCCATAAAATTTGACCAACTCTGACTTGCACATAGAATAAAGCAAAACACTTTGTGGTTGAAATTTGTGTAGAGGATAGAGTAATAACTTTAACCACGTATTTATTACTTTAAATGGAAATGATAATATTTTTTGGAATGACTAAATAAGGAAATTTAGTATTTTTGTGAGACAGAGGAGTACAATAGTTTGATGACATGTTGTTATAGTTTTTTGCTTTTTTTTTTTGGAAAATATTAATTATTAATCATATAATCCCACTTTTTGAAATTAATCCAACACGAAATAGTAAATAAATGTATAAAATTGTATGAAACTCTGTTTTAACATGAAAACCCAAAAGGGTGAAAATCACCGAACTTTTTGGAGTAATGTCCAAGTCACTCTCATTTTATTAATACATTCCTCGCCATTTTAGCACAAGTATTAAATCTTGGGAAAAGTGTCAAATAGGCCCCCTTACTAATACGAAAAAGTCAATTAAGCCCCCGAACTCAAAAAACATCCAATTAAGCCCACGAACTAAATATAACGAGGCAAAACAGTCCTTTTAGCAAGATATTAACCGTTCTCAGTTAAGTTGCATGTGTGGCAAATGATGTGGCATGCTTCTACATTTTCTTTTTCTCTTTTTCTCTTTCTTTCCTTTTTTCCTTATCTCTTTTTAACTGCTTAATTACCTGCTAAAAGGACTGTTTTGCCTCGTTTTTTTATAGTTCGTGGGCTTAATTGAGTGTTTTTTGAGTTCAGGGGCTTAATTGACTTTTCTGTATTAGTAGGGGGGCCTATTTGACAGTTTTCCGTTAAATCTTAGAAGCCATTAAATGAGCTCCAAGCCCATCGAGAGAAAAGGAGACGTGGAGAAGAAGAAGGATAGCTAGAGAGAGAGAAAAGGAATCCCAAAACATGGAGGGAAACCTCCTATTTGTAGGAAAAGGGGAGGAGGGGTGCAACACAACTCTAATGGGCCGAAAAGGACCAC